AAATGCCTGCCCACTGATGCACAGATAAATAAAATGTGATCTGTTCATACAACAGAATATTACTCAGCTGTGAAAAGGAAGTACTGATACATGTTACAACATGATGAGCCTTGAAAACATCATGCCCAGTGAAAAGCCAGACATGAAAGGCCACGTGTTACATGATTCTGCTTAAATGAAACGTCCAGAACAGGCAAATCCAGGGAGACAGAAAGCAGGTTAGTGATTGCTGAGTGCTGAGGGGAAGGGGAATGGGGAGTGATTGCAAAGGGGCACAGAGTTTCTCTCTCTTTTTTTTTTTTTTTTTGGTGTTTTTTGTTTTTGTTTTTGTTTTTGTTTTTGTTTTATTTTGAGACATGGTCTCGCTCTGTCGCCCAGGCTGGAGTACAGTGGCATGATCTTGGCTCACTGCAACCTCCACCTCCCGGGTTCAAGCAATTCTCCTGCCTCAGCCTCCCAAGTAGCTGGGACAACAGGCGCCTGCCACCATGCCCGGCTAATTTTTTTTGTATTTTTAGTAGAGACAGGGTTTTGCCATCTTGGCCAGGCTGGTCTTGAACTCCTGACCTCATGATCCACCAGCCTCAGCCTCCCAAAGTGCTGGGATTACAGGTGTGAGCCACTGCGCCCAGCCTAGAGTTTCATTTAGGGTTTATGAGAATGTTCTGGAATTAGACTGTGGTGTGGTTGGGCAACCTAAAAACCACCAAATTGTACCAAGTAAAGAGTGGACTTTTATGTTATGTGAATTATGTGCTTTAAAAAATCAATCAGGTGAGGTGCAGCGGCTCATTCCTGTAATCCCAGCACATGGGAGACCGAGGCGGGAGCACTGCTTGAGCCCAGAAGCTGGAGATCAGCCTGGGCAACACTGCAAGACCCCATATCTACAAACCAAAAATTGAGAAAATTAGCCAGGTATGGTGGCACATGCCTGCAGTTCCAGCTACTCGGGAGGCTGAGGCTGGAGGATCGCTTGAGCCCAAGAGGCTGAGGCTGCAGTGAGCCAGACGGCACTCCAGTCTGGGTGACAGAGCAGAACCCTGTCTCAAAAGCCCAACAAAAGAAAAGGTGCTGACAGGTTCAGCTGCCTGGTGATGGCTGCTCTCTGCTTCCAAGACAGCGCCTTAATGCTGTGTCTCACCTGGCAGACGGGACGGAAGTGGTGCCCTTTTACCATCTAAAGGCACTCAGGCCGGGCGCGGTGGCTCACGCCTGTAATCCCAGCACTTTGGGAGGCCGAGGCGGGTGGATCACGAGGTCGAGAGATCGAGACCATCCTGGTCAACATGGTGAAACCCCGTCTCTACTAAAAATACAAAACATTAGCTGGGCATGGTGGCGCGTGCCTGTAATCCCAGCTACTCAGGAGGCTGAGGCAGGAGAATTGCCTGAACCCGGAGGCGGAGGTTGCGGTGAGCCGAGATCGCGCCATTGCACTCCAGCCTGGGTAACAAGAGCGAAACTCCGTCTCAAAAAAAAAAATAATAAAAAAATAAAGGCACTCGTCCATTCAGGAAGGTGAAGCCTTCGGTGCCTAATCACCCCCGCCCCCCGAAGCCGCCTTTTAACACCCTTGCTCAGGGGACTGAGTTTCAGCATGAACTGTGGAGGGGACACGACATTTCAAGAACAGCGGGCGGGCGCGATGCGATGTGTTAAGAAGTCAATTTAACAAAAGCACCTATGGGCCGGGCATGGTGGCTCACGCCTGTAATCCCAGCACTTTGGGAGGCTGAGGCGTGTGGATCACCTGAGGTCAGGAGTTCAAGAACAGCCTGGCCAACATGGAGAAACCCCGTCTCAACTAAAAATACAAAAAAATTAGCCGGTTGAGGTGGCGGGCGCCTGTAGTCCCAGCTACTTTGGGAGGCTGAGGCAGGAGAATCGCTTGAACCTGGGAGGCGCAGGTTACAGTGAGCCGAGATCACACCATTGCACTCCAGCCTGGGCAACAGGAGTGAAACCATCTCAAAAAAAAAAAAAAAAAAAAAAAAAAAAAGCAAGCACTTACGCAGAGAACGCCCTAGAACTGCCAGTCCTGCCCTTGGAGTAGAACCCTGAGAGTGTGCACAACCCAGCTCCCACATTCTCACTGCTACGGCTGGAATGTCTGCGACCCCCAAAATTCCCACTCTGAAATCCTTATCCCCAGGGTCATGGTGTCAGGAGGGTCTTTAGGAGGCAGCTGGGTCAGGAATGAGATCAATGCCTTGTGAAAGAGGCCCCAAAAGCTCCCTCGCCCCTTCCACCGTGAAGACTCGGCGGGAAGGCGGCGTTCTGCTCCGGCAGCTGTCACGGACCACGGCACTTGCTGGGCGTCCACATATTCCTCTGTGCGGCCCCATGGGACCCCCGGCCCATGCTGCAGACACTGTCTGCTTCTCCCCCGGCGCACGTACGTGACAGAGCCCGCAGGCGTGCGAGGTGGCCCCTGGGGTGTGAGTTGCGTGTCACCCCAGGGATAAAAGCGGCAGCAGGCAGGCGGGACGGACGATGACCGCACCCCTGCTGAGCAGCATCTCACATCAATCCCCTTTGCCCCCCTCAGAGCAGGTGCACCTTCGGATACACATTTCACAGGCAGGGAAACAGGCTGGAGGAGCTGCCGCCGAGACCTTTCCGGAGACGCTGGTGCCCACACTGCTGGCAGCCAGTGCCTCTGAGCTCCTGCAGCCTGGCACGCCTCCATCCCCTCCCGCCCGACGCCACGGCCCTCTGCCGCGAAGGCTGGCCGGTGTCTACGCCACCAAGCTGGCTTGCCCTCCTTCCCTGACCTGCTTAGCCCCCAAAACTCAATCCCTGCAGCTATAATTCACAGGCACAGTCCCCAGACACCACGATCACGACTCCCATTTTACAGATGAGGAAACTGAGGCACAGAGAGGACAACTGTCGAGTTTCCAGGGGCTGCCAGAAGAGCTCACCACAAACTAAGTGGCTCTGAATGACGGAAAGTCATCCTCTCACAGTTTTGGAGGTCAAAAGTTTGAGATCAAGGTTTGCAGGGCTGTGATCCCAGGAGGCTCTAAGGGGGGGCCCACCCTGCCTCTCCCAGTTTCTCTGGGCTTGTGGCCGCATCAGCCCCGTGTTAGCCTCTGCCTCCCATGGTCGCCTCCTGTGTGTGTGTCCCGGTCTGTCTGACACAGTCACTGGCTCGGGGCCCACCTCAGTCCACGGCCTCATCACAGGGCATCTCACTTAATTACGTCTGTAAACACACTGTTTCTAAGTGAGGCCCGTTCTGAGCTGCCAGGTGGACATGAATCTGGGGACGACGCAGTATCAACAGCTCACTCGAAGTCACTCAGCAGACAGGCAGGAACAAGACACTCTGGCAGTCTGACCCCACACACGGCTGATCCCACCACCAGCCTGCCTCAGAAGGGGGTCCAAATCCAGCCTGTGGGGTGTGGACTGCAGGGCCGGTCCCAGCACAAGCCCACCTCCTCCTCCTCCACGTCCTCCTGACAAGGCTGAGGGCCAAAGGCATGTTCTCCAGGCTACCTGGAGCTGAGCATGGCTGCAAGGTTCCCACCAAGCGAGGGGAGGCATGGGAGTTGAATGTACCCTAGGCTTCAAGAAAAGCTTTTGCTTCCCAAACAGAAGAGACAGCCAGAGATACCCACAATGAGGGGGGCAGAATTCTAAGAGTACCCAAACACTAAATTTAGGTGCTGCTGAGAAGGAAGCCTGACTTAAAGTTCCTTGAAAGGGAGGGGATCTTGGGTGGGCCAGACCTAATCAGGTGAGGCCACAAATGGGAGGGGCCTCTTCCCTGGCAAAAGAGATTTGAAGTCTGAGTAACTTCACCCAAAGGAGATTCTCCATTACCAGCCTAATGATGGACAAGGCCACATCTGACAGCAGCTCCCTGGCTAATGGCTGCCTCCGACCCATGGGCTCACAGACCCACAACTGCAAGAAACTGATTCTGCCAGCAACTTGGGTAAGATGGGAATAGGAACCAAGAGAACTAATTCGCAGGAACCTGACTTCAGCTTCTGAGACCTTGAACAGAGAACCCAGCCACACCGTGCCTGCACCTCTGACTTTCAGAACTATGAGCTACTCAGTCAGCGTTGTTTTAAGCCACTAAGTTGGTGATAATTTGTTACACAGCAGTTTAAAACAATAAACAAGCAGAAAACAAACAAACAAAAACTAATACCCACGCTTTTCACATCTTCCCATCTTGAATGTGACAGCTGGAGCTATGGAAGCCACCCTATGACCATGAGGCATGCATTTGAAAGAAAAAGGCCATGTGCTCGGGATGGCAGAGAATTAAACAGAGCCCGTGTCCTTGTGACAGACTGTTAAAAAGGTCATGATGAGTCAAGACACCCTGGGTGCACAGTGTTCTACAACAGGACATGCCACTCACTCCCCAGCTGGCAGTAGGGTCTACTTCTCTACAGCCTAGTTCCTGCATACTAGGCTAGCCTTGCGCTTAGCTTTGAGCAATAGGACATGGGGAAGGTAACATTCTGGGAGTCCAGAGAACACAGCTAACAAGACTCATAGTTTCTATCATTGCCTAGAATGAATCCAGTCTCCATGGAAAAAAGCACAAAAACAGACCAACCACAGAGGAAAGAATGAGGTTGCAGGTGTGGAAGTGAGGCCAGCCGATACCATAAGAAGAGAGAGGTCCATCACCCAGGCCATCCCCCATCCACTGGAGCTACCCCAGCTTGGATCTCAGTCCGATGCACCAATAAGGCCAGTGAGATGCCCCAGCCCTAGCCAACACCACATGAAGCACAGGTGAACCATCCTTGCTGAGCCCTGCCCAAATTCTCAACCTACAGAATGGTGAGAGGTAAACTGATCATTCTTTCAGGCCTCTTAAGTTTGGAGTGATTTGTTACTTAGCAGCAGATAACTAGCTGATACAGGCCCTCAGGAGGCCACCAAGCACCATCCCAGCCTAAGCTGAAACACTGCCCCCAGACCTGCCCCCAGGAGATGCTCAAATGTCTGCCCAATCAACTGACCTTTGACGTCCAGATGGAAGGAGAGCCGCTGGCCCCCAGCCTCACAGCTGTACTCCCCAGCATCCGCTTGGCCCACCTGCTGCACCACCAGCCTCCGCGTGCAGCCCGCGGCCTCCACACGCACTTTTGAGCCAGATCTCAGCTTCTTCCCGTCCTTGTACCACGTCACCTCTGTCTGGGCCTGGGCCACCTCGCAGCTCAGCATGGCACTGGCCCCCGCCTCCACCTGCAGCTTCCTGTGTGCCGGCTGTTCCTTTGCAAACACCACCTTGGGCTCTGAGGATGGACAAGGACGGATGCACAGAGTCAGAGATGCCAGAGCACAAAATCTGAAGTTTCAGATGCAGAGGCTGCTCACGCTGGAGCCCACTGATGACGAGCTGTCTGTGGCCCACAAAGAGTGGCCTCACCAACCACCAGCCGGACGTGGGTTTGAGCAAGAGAGAATGCATACTGGAAGCTTCAAGCATCAGCATGGGGAAGAATTTCCCAAGGCCCATCAGCAGCAGGCAGCCGATACTCTGGAGTCCAAGCATTCCATAACACCTTAGAAAAAACCACCACCCCGGCAGAGTGCCCCTTTCAAAGGAAAAGCTGCTCTCGTTTTCTGTCATACTTTCGGTTCTGGAAGAACCGAAGAACCAAGCAGAAAAGGTCTTCAACAGGATTCAACGTCCCTTCGTGCTAAAAGCTCTCAATAAACTAGGTGTTGATGGAACGTATCTCAAAATAATAAGAGCTGTTTATGACAAACCCACAGCCAGTATCACACTGAATGGGCTGGAACATTCCCTCTGAATGCCGAATTTCCTCACAGCGAGCAGCATGGCCATCCCCTGCAGGGCAGGAGCAGACGATGCCGAGAGGCGCAGGGGCGCCCAGGGCCAGCGTGGCACACACTCCACCCATGGAAGGGCGCTGACCACAATACCGGGGACTCACCTGCCACGTGCAGGCGGAAGGAGAGCCTCTGGCCCCCGGCCTCGCAGCTGTACTCCCCGGCGTCCGCCTGGCCCGCCTGCTGCACCACCAGCCTCCGTATGCAGCCCGCGGCCTCCACGCGCACTCTTGAGCTGGCGCTCAGCTTCTTCCCGTCCTTGTACCACGTCACCTCCGTCTGGGCCTGTGCCACCTCGCAGCTCAGCGTGGCGCCGGCCCCCGCCTCGGCCTGCACCTCCCTGCGTGCCGGCTGCTCCTTGGCAAACGCTGCCTTGGGCTCTGGGGATGGACAAGGACGGAGGTGGGATCAGAGGCCCTTCCGAGCGAGGTTTTCAGGGCTCGGTTCTTTGTTACCAGGTTCTGTACCCCAGGCACACACAGTCCTCCACGGGATCCTCCGTGGTCCGTGCACTCGGGTGTGGCTCTTCCCATGCACAGGGAGCTATGACGCCCAACCCCTGCCCAGCGAGGGCCCTGGCATGCGCCAGGAGGGCGGGGCATGTGCCTTCCACAAGCTACAAGAGGGCCTGGTGGCCTGAGTATCCCTCGCAGACCCAGGCTGCCGTCTCTCTCCCCTGAACTCCCGCCCATCCTGGAGGTCCACCGCCTACAGACATGGGCCATCACGTGGGCCAATACGGACAGAAAGTTCAGCTTCACAGACACTCCCCTGGTCGCTCAAGCAACAGAGAGCAGGCGCAGGCCGTGTTCTGCTTTGTGGACAAATCGGCCACTGGACTGTGAGAGTTAGGAGGCTGGACTGCTGTGACTTTTGGGCAGACAGGAAAGACCCTTGCCCAGATGAGACCGAGTCCACGCCCACCTTCCAAAGCTCCTGCATGTATCTTACTGTCTACACTTGGATTCTTTACCCCTGTAAACGTTAGTTTTTCATGTCATTTCTTTTCCAGAGAAGCAAATGTCCTCTGTGACGAGGCAGCAAACTCCTGCTCCGCCAGTGGCATCTGCCAGCCCCTGCCCAGCGAGTGAACCGGGGAGTGAGTGCGGGCCCGGCCCGGCCTGGTGCGTGGGCACGGCCCTGGGAGGGCGGGGCACAGCTGCCCAGTCTCTTGCCTAAAGCACGGCATTTCCAGGAAGCGTCGGTTCAGTGGTGCCGGCCCTTTCGTCTCCCTGCACGGGAGATCATGTCCGGCAGCACTCAGGGCTGTGCCTCTGCGGCCACCTGACACAGGCTGGGAGGGGCTTTGGCTCGGAGGTGCCTTCTGGGCAGCCACAGAGACTTCGCCACCTGTGTATCAGCTGCAGCTAAAACTCTACTTTGGAGCAGCTCAGCAGAAAGTCTGAAAGACTCTCCTGGGCTGCAATCCTCACTGAGCCTTCTGAATAGAACTAATCCTTTTAAAACCTTACTTTTTTGCAGTTGACACCCTCAATCATTTGCTGGAGAGAAAGAAGGGCCAGGAAGGTCAATCCTGCTGTGCTGGGTGCAGTCAGACCTGCTCTCCGCCCCACGTGGGCCGGGACGCATGCACACACAGCGTGCTCACCAGAGACGCGGAGCCGGAAGTCCACAGAGTCCTCGCCCACACGGCAGGAGTAGGTGCCCTCATCCTGCCCGGTGACCACGGCTGCCACCAGCCGGTGCCGCGTCCCCACGTCCTCCTGCAAGAAGCGCTCACCGGAGCGGCCCAGCTCCACGCCATCCTTGTACCAGCGCACGCGGACGTGGGCCTCCGAGGTCTCACACTCGAACTGCGCCGGGCCCCCCGCCACCGCATCCACACAGCTGCCCGCCGCATCCTTGTGCAGAAAGCACGCAAGGCCTGTGGGATGCAGGGCGGGTCAGGGACTGCAGAGGCCCAGAGGGAGCAAGGCCACAGGGCCCAGAGGCTGGAGCTGCTCCGGCTTCTGGGACCATACACAGGACACCCAGGCTCACCCAGGCCAGAGGGACCCTGCTGGGCAAGCGGCCAGCTCGGCCTGCTGACTCCAACCACGGGACTGGTGCCCACCGGAGCAACCACCCCGTTATGGAGTCCCTCCTCCTACCGAGCCGGGCTGGCGCCCACTGCCATCCCTCACCCTCCCCACAGTCGGGAGAACCCCGCGGAGCCTGCCAGCCGCCCCTACCTTGCACGGACAGCTGGTAGGCGATGCGGGCCCCGCGGCTGACGCACTCGTAGAGGCCGGCGTCGTCCTGGGCCACGTCTCGCACAAGCAGCACCCGCCGCCCGGCCGAAGCCTGCACCTCATATTTGGGGCCTGGGGGCAGCGTGCGACCGTCCTTCAGCCACGTCACAGCCGCAGCCTGGTCCGACAGCTCGGCCAGCAGCTGTGCCTCCTCATGCAGCCGAGCCAGCACCTCCCGGGCAGCTGCGGCTGGTGGCTTGTTGGCGCTCAGACCTGGTGCCGCTGGGGGCCGGGCATGCGTGGCCAGAGGGGAATGGATGGAGGGGCACGGCAAGGTGGGCAGAGGGGAACGGACGGGAGGGGTGACAAGACACGGGGCAGAGAAAGAGATAAAAGGAAGGGAGGGAGCCCGGGACAGCAGCGCAGGAGGACGGTGGGGGAGAGGCAGCCGGGGGAGAACAGAGACCAGAATCCACCAGAGACGCGCAGGAGATGGAGGCCGAACACCCAGGCATGGGATGGGGTGGGAGACAGCACAGAGAGGGGCAGGAAAGAGGCGGAAGGGAGAAGATGAACAAGGCGGAGAAGGGGGAAGGAGGAAAGGAGGGAAGGAGGGAGACAGACGTGAGGCTCCGCCCAGCTCTGCCCTGTGGCCCCAGGCCCGCACCCAGACACCAGGGACCCGGGCACCAGCCAGCCCAGGTGAGTCCCCACACGCCCACCAACCTCCTGCTTCATCCCAGCGACCTGCAGGCTGACAGGGTGGCCTGGGGCCCTCAGACCCATGGCAGCCCCACCCAGAGCCCTGGCCCAGCCCACCGAAGAGAAACGGGGCTCAGGGTCCCAGGTCAGGGCCCCCCACCTACCCCGGACCTCCATACGGATGCTGCTCTCAATGCCGTTGGCCACGAACTTGAGCTGTGCCCCGTGCAGGCTGGCGGGCACCTCCCGGATGGTGAGCGTGTGCCGGGTGCGGTCACAGTGGATCTCGTACACGCTGCTGGCCTTCAGGGCCTGCCCGTCCAGGAACCACTCACCCGCTGAGGCCACCGTGAGGTCCACGGAGAAGGTGACCTCGCCACCCTCCACCGCCTGCACTGCCTTCAGCGGTATCCTCACCGCCAGCTGGGGAGCTGTGGGGTGGGCAGCGTCAGGAAGGGGCAGGGGAGGAGTGGGGAGGGCTGAGGGCATCTTTGCCTTCCCTTCCTCTTCCTACAGGGCCTGGAAGCTCTCCTCCTCCTCCAGGAAGCCCGGCCAGCACGTACAGGGACCACGGCACAAGTCAGACTCATGAAGGAACAAGGACAAGGTGCAGCCACTCTGAGGCCCCTCCAGCATCCCACAAGCCTCACCAGAGGGGGCAGCCCCTCCCAGGAGCCCTGTCATGCGGTCACCTCTCCTTCCCACCAAGGACGCTGCACCAGGGCAGAGCCTTCGCAGCCCCTCTCCCCACAGAAGGCCTCCACGAGGTCACTCTGGCCTCCACTGAGGCTGGACTTGGGGAAGTCTGGGGCAGGTGAGCAGCCGGGCAGGTTGCAACCGTGAGGCCCCACTCACCCAGGTGGACGGTCCCTGGGAACTCGAGGTAGGGACTCTGACCAAAGCTGTTGAGAGCTGAGACTCGGAACTGAAAGTCCCCCTCCTCGGCCACATTCCTCACGACCAGCTCAGGCGTGGCCACCCATTCAGCCTCGTGGCACCGGCTCCAGGTGTACGTGCCAAGCTGTTTCTTCTCCACCAGGTAGCCGTCAATGGCGACGGGGCACTCCCCCTGGGGCGGTGGGGACCAGCTGAGGGTCACAGAACTCTCCGTCTTGGCCTTCACCACCGGATCCGAAGGGGGCTGCAGGGGAGGCCTCCTGGGGGCTGCGGAGAGGGTGGGCAGAGGTCACCTACTGGGAGCCTCTCCCTGAGCCCTGGGTCTGGAATCACCTGGAGAGAAGTCACAGGATCCCCAGCTCTCCTGGGGCTGCTCTGCGGACCTGGACCACTGGCCACAACCTCCAGTCCCAGAACTGCAGCCCCTTGTCTGGCCGCAGCTGAGACTGCAAGGGCGCAGGGGAGGGGACGGCTAACCTGGAGGGCAAGGCCTGGGGGAGGGGGCTGACCCTGCAGGCCCTCGGTGCAGCAGCTGGAGCCGTGAGAGCTGAGCCGAGGGAGGGCGAGGGCGGGGGACTGAAACCCGGAGGCAGCAGGGAAGGGACGCCGCCCTGGGAGCACCAGGCCCTCACCCGCCACGCAGAACTGGGTGGACGTCCGGCAGTCGCCAGCCATAAAGGCCACCTCGCCCACGTCCTCCAGGCAGCACTGGGAGATGGTCAGCGTGTGGCGCGTGCCCTCCGCGGAGATGACCACGCGGCCCCCGGCCACCACCTCCTCCTGGTTCCGCAGCCAGCGGACGGGGCCCACCGGGACGGCCAGCTCCACGCAAAACATGGCCGTGTCGCCCACGCGCACCGCCGTCTTCCGAGGGAGCTTTCGGAGAAGGTTTCCTGGGGTGGAGGGAGCCGGGCCGTCACAACAGCCCCGGCGCGCCCCGCTTCAGACTCGCTCCTCCGCCCGCCCCCAGTCCCCGGGTTCCCAACTGCCTCCAACTCACTCCATCGCGCAATCCCTTACCTGTCCGGCCCGCCCAGTCCCAGCTCAGTCTGGCAAGACCCCCAGCCACTGCCCCGCCACTCCCGCCATCCCCGCCCGTGCCCCGCCCCCCGCCTTACCTGCTCTGCCCGCCCCAGTCCCGCCCCTGCCTCCCCGGGTCCAAACGCGTCCCTCGCCAGCTCCGGGTCCAGCCCGTCCCCCCCGTGCCCGCCCAACCAGTCGGCCTGGCCCTCCTCCCTCCTCGGCGCCTCGTCCTTGCCCCCGCCTCCCCGAAGCCGCCCCGCGCCCCCCGCCTGCCTTGGACGGCGAGCTCCGCCACGGTGCGGCTGCCCTCCCGCGTCTCGCAGATGTACACCGCGTCGTCGTCGGCCGAGACGTTGCGCACGGTCAGCCGGCGCTCGGTGCCCTCCTCCTCGATGCCGTACTTGGCGCTCGCCCACAGCCGCGTCTCCTCCTTGAACCACGCGGCCTCGGTGGACGGCTGGGGCACCTCGCACAGGAACGTGGCCGACTCCTTCTCCCGCACCTCCAGATCCTGCAGCCGCTTCTTGAACGGAACCGCGGGCTCTGCCGAGGAGCGGAGGCCGGTGAAGGGCGGGGCCGGAGGGTGCGGGGGGCGCAGGCGGGGCCGGGGGCGGGGAGAGGAGCCTGGAACCTGCAGAGGTGACGGTGTGCGAAGGAGCAGGGGACGGAGCAGAGGCGCGGGAATCTGGAAAGGGGAGGGTGCAGGGGAGAGGAGCGAGCAGGAGGCCAAGGGGCTGGGGGTGGGAAGGGCGCCTCGAGGGACACGCGAAGTTAGGGGTGGAGGAGTAGGAGAGCAGGAGGCGGAGTGGTGGAGGTTGGGGCGGGAACAGCGCGCGGGAGAGGGCGGGACTGAGGAGGTGGGATCCCCTGTGGCCCCGCCACTCTCACGCCTCCCCCCTCTGTGTGTGGGCGACCGCTGGGGGGCGGGGCGGGCAGGGGACTGGGTGGAGAAGGTGGGCTGCGGCTCATTAGGACAGGCCGGGGGTCGTCGCCCGCAGTTTGTGCACCAGGAACGGACACCTGCAACTCCGGATTCCACGACCCAACAGACGCAACAGACGCGGGCGGGAAACGGCAGCAGCCGCAAGGGCGAACAGGACGCAGGTGCAGGGGTTGGGGAGGGTCCTGGGCCCGCGCCCCGCCCCCGGGAGCTCACCGCGCACTACGAGCAGCACGGAGCTGTAGGTCTGCCCCACGAGATTGGACGCCGCGCAGGTGTAGAGGCCGCGGTCGGACTGCTTGCAGAAGAGGATCTTGAGCACGAAGTTCTCCTGAGCGTCCTCGTACACCACGTGGCGCCGGCCCTCGGCCACCAGCTGGCCGTCCTTCTTCCACACCGTCTCGGGCTTGGGCTCGCCGGTCACGTAGCAGCTGAGGCGCGCGTGCTTGCCTTCGGTCACCGTGCAGGTGCGCGTGCCGGTGCAGGGCGGCGAGGCGGGGGCGCCCTCGGCACGCATGGCTTCGCGCCGCCGCTGCAGGTGCGCCAGGAGCGCGGCCGTGGAGGTCCCCGGCGGGCCGGCCGTGTCCGCGGCATCCGAGTCCACCACGAGCGCAGCTGCGGCGCTGGCGGAGCCCAGCGGGTTCTCCGCGCGCACCTCGTAAGTGCCGCCGTCGCGCGGCCGCGCCGCCCGAATGCGCAGCGAACTCGCCTCGCCGAGCTCCTCCACGCGCACGCGGGGGCCGTCGGGCTCGCCCAGGCGCCGCCCGTCCTTGGACCAGCTCACCGCCGGCTTCGGGGAGCCACCCACGCGGCAGCGGAACGTGGCCTCGGAGCCCTCGCGCACGCGGATGGACGTGGGCCGCAGCAGGAAGTGCGGCGCCTGCTCTGCGCACGCGGCCTCCGCGTCCACCTGCAGACCCACGGCCGCGAAGGCCTCGCCTATGGCGTTGCGCGCGCGGCACACGTACTGCCCACTGTCGCCCAGCGCCAGGTCCAGGATGGTGAGGCGGTACAGGTCGCCATCTTGCGCCAGACGGAAGCGCGCGCCCGCCGCCACCGGCTGCTGATCCTTCTCCCAGCTCACCTGTGGCGTCGGGTTACCCACGATCTGGCAGCTGAGCGTGGCATCCTTGCCCACCGACACCACAAAGGCCTTGGGCCGGGTGAGAAAGCGGGGCGCGCCGCTGAACTGGGGCTGATCCATGAGGGTGGCGGCGGGGACCTGCGGGGAAGTGGGGATGGCCTTAGTGGAGATGGGAACGAGGCCCGGCTGCACCCCACCGTGCCGCCAGGAGAACCCAGTTCAACACCTACACACACCCTTCCTCCCGCGCGCCCTGAGGGAGCATCACCGGTTGGCACCGTGGCCCAGGAGCGCAGATTTGCCCCTTTCTGGGCATTTGGGATTTGGTGCCCTCACCTGCAGATGGCTTTTCCAACCGCTGAGAACATCTCCCTCCCTCTCCCTACCGACACCCGCTGTCCCGGCTGCAGTTCCTGGAGCACATGTCCCGAATACTACACCCCCCAGCAAGCAGGCAGGTATTTTCCACGCAGTGCAGCTATTTTCAGTTCCTCCCAGCCCACAGCTTTGCTGCAGCTCCCTGCAGCACACAGACCTGCTAGTACCCTGTGAGCCACTCTACCGCAGGGGCGGGGGTTCTTTGTCCTGCTCCACACACTGCTGCCTCCCCAGGCCTAAAACTTCAGCTGGCCTGTGTGCCCTCCACAACAAGGAGGGGATGCTTGCTGAGCCTCACCAGGCCTGCGTGCAGGAGGCCCAACGTGAACACTGGTCCCTTGCCCCATGGCACAGCATGGTCATGGGTTCTCCACCCTGGCAGGCTGCTCTCTGAGCCTTTTCTAGGTGAGCTGCATCCTCTGCTCTGGGCACCGCCCTTACTGCCTCCTCTTCCCCCTAACCCCAGGCAGCTCCTTCAGCAGCCCCTGCAGGCTGCACTGAGGGGCCAGCCTGCCCCCAGAGGGGCCTCACCTCTTCTGCAGGGTCACACACCTCCCTCCCCAACCCGGGGGCACACTCCATCTATGAGGGGGAAGGACCAGAAACTGATCAGCTGCTTGCTCCCAGGCCCCTCCACTGAGCCCCAGGGTTGGATGGGGATGCCTGGGCAGCACAGTCAGGAATCCGGCTGGGGAACACAGCTGGGGTACCCCCAGAGTCTGGAGCTGGCAAGGCCAGTAACATCCCCCCCGGAAGGTCAGGAGACCTCCAAGCTGAGACCAGCTGGGCTGGGCCAGCTGCGCCCAACCTGGTCACCCCACAGTTCTCAGCCACACTGGCCAGCTGGACGTGCCGCAGGGTTGAGGGTGCAGCTCAGTGCCAAAGGCCCCAGGTGATGCTGGCCTTTGACCGCCCCAGGAGGAGACCCAGCAGGCCAGCCACCCCCAGTACAGTCCCCCCATGTAGATGGTATGGGTGACGCTACCCTGCCTATGCCGCTCCTCTGTAGGAACAGCGGGTGGGAGTGGGCCCCACCAGGGAACCTTGCCTGCACCCTCCCTCGGGCCAGAGTCTCCAGCTTCTGGGCCTGGGCTCCCCACTGTGGGCTGAGCCAGGGCGTCGTTCCCGGGTCCTCCTCCTGGTCCTGTGATTCAGGTAGTTAATCCCCTTAATCCCTTTGGGCTGCTGAGGCTGGAGCAGGGCTGGGCTGCGGGTACCAGCTTGCTGACTCACTGTGCAGTCAGCACCTCTGCTGCAGGCCAGCCCCCCCACCCCCAAACAACCAACGGCAGGGCTCTGGGGCTGGGGAGGACCCGGGCAGGGGCCCGCCCACGGCAGGCACCAGGGGCGGAGTTTCGCCCTTTCTGGGATTTGCCTCCGTGGGCACCTCCCAGGTGTGGTGGCAAGCACCTGTAATCCCAGCACTATGGGAGGCAGAGGCAGGAGAATCCTTTGAGCCCAGAAGTTCCAGGCCAGCCTGGGCAACATGTGAGACCCCATCTCTACAAAAAAAAAATTTTTTTTTAATTAACTGGAAGTGGTGGCAGGTACCTGCTGTCCCAGCTACTCAAGAGGCTGAGGTGGGAGGATTGCTTGAGCCCAGGAGGTCAAAGCTGCAGTGAGCTATGATTATGCCACTGTAGTCCATCCTGGGCAACAGAGCAAAGCCCAGTCTCTTTTAAAAAAAAAAAAGAAAAAAAGAAAAAAAAAGCCTGGGTGAGGTGGCTCATGCCTGTAATCCCAACACTCTGGGAAGCTGAGGCAGGCTGATCACAAGGTCAGGAGATCGAGACCATCCTGGCTAACATGGTGAAACCCCGTCTCTACTAAAAATACAAAAGATTAGCCAGGCGTGGTGGTGCGCGCCTATAGTCCCAGCTACTGGGGAGACTGAGGCAGGACAACTGCTTGAACCTGGGAGGCAGAGGTTGCGGTGAGCCGAGATCAAGCCACTGCACTCCAGACGGGTTGACAGAGCAAGACTCCATCTCAAAAAAAAAAAAGAAAAGAAAAAAATCATACAGCCAGCTGGTCTGTGGGTTCCCAAAAGCAGAACAGGGTGTCCTGTCCCCCAGCCTCTTCCACACCCAGAGCCCCGCCTGGCCCTGCCAGGGTCACAGTGGAATGACAGATGAGGCGGTGTGTGTGGGCAGCCTCTTTGGACCAAGAGGACCAGGACAGTCAGGGAGCTCCCGTGACTGCCCATGCTGAAGGGACAGACAGGCACACAGGCTCACCCTGGCCTAGGGGAGAGCGGGTAGAGACACTGAGGTCCTTGTGGGATGGCACCATGGCTCTGGGGCCTGCATTCTGTCACCTGGTGCAGGCCCAGGAGGCCAACTGCAGGGTCTGGGGGGCTCGTGGCAGCCCGGTCAGAAGGCATCCCTACCAGTCAGAAGGCCTGAGGCCAGGGAGGGACTCGCCATGCAAGAGTCCGGGAGCTACCCTCTTCCCTGATAACCCATGTCACAGATGAGGCATCAGGCTGAGCGGGAAGGAGGCCACCACGGCCACCCCGGGGCTCCCAGGAAGCTCATCGGGCACTGGGACATCCACGGAGACCGTCTTCTTTCTCTGCCACATTTTGAGTCTGGACAACTTACGAGCTTCCCCAGGACAGGAAGACCTCAGCCCTCAGCCCCGGGAAAGCCTTTTCCCCACCACGGACCACACTTGGGCCCCTCGGAGGCCTCCCTCCAGCCCTGTGGGACCACCCCATGCTCCGGTGACAGGCCTCGCCACAGCCACCCACGCCTCAGCAGCCCTCCACCCTGACTGTTGTGGAACTTCGCCACTCTTGTCCTCCAGAGGCCCCGGGACCATCCTCGGAAAGAGCTCAGAGTGACAGGCAGCTCCCAGGGCGCCACCTCGCCAGCCCTCCCCACCCCCGCACCGACAGGCAACCTGGGCAGCCCTTGCCCCCTTGCCCTTCCAGGACGGACTTCCAAGGGCAGTGCCCCGGGGCTGTGCCTCACCTTAGACCCCACCGGAGGCTTCAAGCGCTCCGGGAAAATTCTTTCCTGGAGTCAGGTGTCAGCGCCCCTCTGGCTGTCCCCTCCGCTGAGGCAACAGGCCCAAAATAGCCCCAGCTGTCAGCAGGCATCTATCTCAGCAGTGCTGGGGGCAGGGCCAGCCGGACCCCCTGGCTGCTCTCTGAGCGAGGGTCAACTCCTGGGTGGAGGCTGGGTGGGTGCACCACCCTGTCCACCTGCAGCCCCAGGCCAGCCAGGCAGCTCCATCCCATGGGGGGGCCCGGCTCCAGGCTCGGAGGGAGCAGGGGCTGGAACCCCAGCCCCACCACAGGGAGCTGCATCTCGGCCAGACCCTGAAGGCTCCCCCACTCCCCAGACGTGACCTTCAGCCAAGCCACCCTCCAGGGCACAGAACGCCCCCCACCCTGTCAGCCTGTGTCTCCTCACCTCTCTCTATGGAGGCTCTGGGCAGCGCACAGGCCGGGGGTACAGGCCGGGGGGGCGGGGGCTGCCGGGTCTCACCTCCCTCCGAAGGCCCAGGACCAGCAGGCTGCCCACCAGCAGCCCACACTCCGGCCGCTCCTCAAACTGGACGGGGACGAAAGGACAGGCGGACGCTGTCAGCTGGAGAAGGCTGGGCCCGCCCCCCACCCCACCCCCCGCACCGGCCAGGCCGGCCCAGCCCAGCTCCAAAATAGCCCGGGTGTCTGTCCCGGATTCAGTTTCACCCTCGGCCATGCGGGAGGCAAAGGGCAGATGCTCAGGGCCACAGCCAGGGACAAGGGGTCCTGTGTCCTCAGCAGTGATGGAGGCGGGGGCCACAGCCAGGGACGGGGAGACCATGTGTCCTCAGCAGTGATGGAGGCCGGACACTGGCCACAACTGGCCTGGCCCCTCCTCAAACCAGCATCCTGAAGCATGGGGCAGGAAGGGGCCTGGGGGACCCAGGACGGCTCTGAGTGGGACAAGGGACCACCCCAAGGGGAGCCCAGGATGGATCCTGAGGCAGCCCCGGGACTGCCCCGAGAGGGGACCCAGGACCACCCTGTAGGATGACCCGCACCCTCCTTTGGGCCGGCGGTGAAGGAAGGAGAGCAGGAGCCTGGGACACCGTGCTTGGCCAGGCCCAGGCCTGTGACAGCCAGCTGGCACCCGGGGCCCTCCTGGAGCCCTCAGCTGGGTCTCAGAGGCATCCTTTTCCTGTGAGAATCCAGCCCACCTAGGTGGAGGGATGAGCCCTGGGGAGGGCTGCTGATGGCACCCTGCTTCATACCCCAGAGGGGCTGGCCCTGTCCCCACAGCCCTGGCCACGAAGCAGTGTGGACCGGGCACTGGGCAGGCCCCACCTGGGAGGAGCAGCCGGAGAGGGCCACCGCTGAGAGCCCTGTGCCTTTCCAAGGAGTGCCCAGGTCTGGAGGCACTCAACCTGAATGGGGATGAGGGGAGAGCCTCTCCCCGCATGGAGGGAGGAGGGAGCCAGGGCAGCATGTAAGGCAGGACCCTGCACCGCACCTGGGCACCTGACCTGAGGGGTGCTGCCAACAGGGTCCTGGCTGCCAGCACCAGGGAGCCAAAGAAGGGGCCAGCTGGGCAGGGTGTGGAGCTGGGCCCAGGAGGACAGCTCAGGCTGTGGCAGAGGGAGGGTGGGGAAGATGGGGGTGCTGCGAGCCTCCTCTGTGCCTCCAGGCTTCGCCCCGTCCCTGATCCGGTGCCCGGCCTCTGTGCCCTCACAGGGCACCCCAGGCTCTTCCTGGCAACAGCCAGTGTCTCAGGTGTCCTCACTCAGAAAGAGGGCGGGGGGTCTCTGGGGTAATGGCCGTGCCATCCTGCAGCCTGAGCAGCCGTATCTCATGGTCACTCACCTTCTCATCCTGTCACCTGCCTGGTGAGCATTTCAACGTGTGAGTCTCAGGGACAGGCATTCAGACCACAGCACCAGGAGGAGAGAAAGGCTGGAAGGCGAGCCCACCGCCCCCACCCCCGGAGCTTGGCCCTGAGCTGCCCCAGCCATGCAGAAGTGCGTGTGCATGCCTGTGTGTGTGCTCACACACGCCCCACCCCCTCCAGGACAGGGCGGTAGAGAGTGCAGAAAAAATGTCCGTGGGCCAGCCCCCTGCAGGTCCTCCCGGGGAGAAGTGACGCCCCCACAGCCCCCAGGAGCCGCCGGCCCTCCTGGCCCTCCTTCCTCACTGCTGCCTCTCCGACGGCTCTCCAGACGCCACGGTCAGCCCTGGGATGGATTTTCTGCCTCCGACTCCACGTCACGGGACCCCTGCTGTCGGGGGGCACTGTGCCCACGGTGTCCTTTGCACCATGGGAGGCCACAGGAGGCCGTGGCTGCCCGTGGAGCTTGTCTTTTCCTGGCTGGAATCTACTGCAGAGAGAACCCTCATGAAGTTGCTGTCTGTTCAAAGGGGTACAGGTGCGGGGGAGCAGAGACAGTTTCCTGAGGAAAGCACATGTCGCCGTGTCTCTGGAGTTGCCAGCTTCCACCAGGACTCCCTACCACGAGCCCTCCTCCCCGGGCTTTCACAGCTGGTGGGCTGGCATCCTGGGTGCAGTTTAAGCGGGGGGGGGGGGGTGTTCTCACAGCCACCTCCCAAGGCCTGGGGGGATGGCGGGCTCAGAGGCCTCGGACCTGCACCTGCTGCCCAGGTGATGGGGTGGCTGGGCCCCGGCTGCCCACCAACTAAAGACCAAGCCCAGTGCAGAGGGACCCCATATACACCAGGACTGAAGCCAGCCTGCAGGGTTGGTGAGAAGCCAGGAGTGGCCCCACAGCACAGAACGAGCCTGAATGGGTCCATTTCTACTAGAGAAGCAGCCCCGGGGTTTGGGGTTTGCCACAGGGGTCCCATGCGATCACCATGAGCTCAGCAAACCCTCCTCTCCCTCTCTCTGCTGTGACTCCCCCGCAGCTCAGCCTCCTCCTCCATCCTACCCACCCCCGTCTCCCTCCCCCGCAGCTCAGCCTCCTCCCTTTTCTGTGTCTTCCTTTCTCTGTGCCCTCTGGTGGGCACCGCCCTCCCTCATGAGATGGTTCCACGTCTCAGCTGGCAGGATGCCTCTGAAGATTCCCCCGTCCCTGCATCCCATCCGACAGCCTCGCGTCCTTCCTTGTGGTTCTTCGTAGGGAGGAGTCAGGACGCCCGCTGCGCATCCGGTTCCCTTGAGCCAAGAGTGGTCTGTTGGTCTGGAGAGGCCCCGTGCTTCAGAGGGACCTGTGCCACGACCACCTGCCCCACTCTGGCCAGCAGCCTGGCACCAAAGCTTCCCTCCAGGAGAGTCCACGCGAAACCAATTGCATCCCCGCCAACCACCATCCTCCAGCACACCCAGCTCCTGGGCACCTTCCTGCTACTCTCGCCTGCCCGGAGCTGAGCTTTTCTGGACCCTGGGTGAGGGTGCTCACACAGTGTCGTCTCTGCGTGCCTGGCTTCCTTCCCACCTGTCCGTGTTGCTGCCAACGACAGGATCTCATTCTCGGTCCTGGCTGACGGCATCCGCTGTGTGCACGCGCCACATCCCTCCTTCCACTCACCGTGGGTCTCTCGGGGACTCCACATCTCGGCTACGCGAACAGGGCTGAAACCAACGGGCGTGCAGCCGCCCCTCAGATGCGCCGATCCTCTGGGTTTATACCCAGTGGTGGATTGCCGGGCCACACGGCAGGTCTATCGTGTTCCGAGGCAGTGGGGAGATGTTGTTCAAAGGGTATGAAACTTCAGTTGTAATATTCCTGAGTTCTAGGGATTTAAAGTGCATCGGTGTCTACAGTTAATCAGACTGCACTGTTTAATTAAAACATGCCAGGAGAGTCGATCTTATGTTCTGTTCTCGCCACTAGAAAGATTGAGTATCCATCTGCTCAAATGGTGACAAAGCGAATGAGTGAAGGGAAGGGACGGAGGTGAGGCGATGGTGCGTTAATTCGTGTATATCACAAATCATCACGTTGTACACCTTCAATGTATGCAGTTCCTAGTTGTCGATTATACCTTGACACTGGACGTTTTAGGATCCCCAGGCCGTCTGTGAACACGTCAGGAGTCTCTGGTGTCTTGGCTTGGGTGCAGAGATGAAGTTCTGTATTCCAGGAGGAAAGAGGGCCCGTTCCCTACTGAATGTTGGGAGGGGAGGCAGCTTCCCTCCTTGACCAGCTTGTAGGTGACACACACTCCCAGGAGCACCGAGAGAGTATGCGGGTGTGTAACAAGGCCTTTGCGTTCATAGGGCCTTTTCACGTCAGTATCTTATCAGATATTCCCAAACAATGGTGTTTTTTCATCTTATAGAAGAGGGGCCTGAGGCTCACAGCGTGAAAACAATCTGCTTAAGCCTACACGGCGGCTGTGCGGGCAGCATTTCTCGTGGCTTAGATGAGAAGCAGGCTTTGCGGCCACAGACATGACTGCTAAGTGCACTGTCCCATCCTGAAGGAGATGCTCCCCCTACAAGAGGACAGTACTGCAAAGACCGATGAAGTCTGCAGTTTCATGGTTTGTTTAAACATAAAGTGTTAAATATTCTTGTGGGATGCAAAGGCCAAAAGTTTGAGGAAAAGCTGCCGGGATGGAAATCTTGCATTTGTGCAAGCAGATGGGTGAGGGTTTCTTTTGTTGTTGTTTTGTTTTGTTGAGATGGAGTCTCACTCTGTCGCCCAGGCTGGAGTGCAGTGGTGTGATCTCGGCTCACTGCAACCTCCACCTCCTGGGTTCAAGCGATTCTCCTGCCTCAGCCTCCTGAATAGCTGGGATGATGGGCACGCGCCACCACATCTGGCTAATTTTTTATTTTTGTATCTTTAATAGAGACAGGGTTTCTCCATGTTGGTCAGGCCAGTCTCGAACTGCTGACCTCGCGATCCACCCGCCTTGGCCTCCCAAAGTGCTGGGACTACAGGCGTGAGCCACCACGCCTGGCCAGGCTAGGAGGTTTTATTGTACTGCCTCGTCCCCTACCTGCCACAGCTTTTTTGGATTATAATCGACATGCAAAAATTGTTCATATCTGTGTACAATGTGATGTGGTGTTTCTTTCTTTTTTTTTTTTTTTTGAGACAGGGTCTTCTTTGTCACCAGGCTGGAGTGCAGCGGCGTGATCACGGCTCACTGCAGTTTAACTGCCCGGGCTCGTGATTCTCCTTCTTCCGCCCCCTGAGAAGTTAGGACTACACGTGTGAGCGACCGCGCCTGCACAGAAACGGTGGATTCTGTAAGTCGTGCTGTCAGGCCGTAACGGAAATGCCTCCTTTCATTGCAGCTGGGTGGCTCACAAGTACACGACTTCACTGTCAACTTTCTTCAGTGACTTACCCGGATCGAAGGCAACTCCATCTGGAGCAAGTCAATCTGACCGCCACCCCCGTCAGTTACTGTTTTCATTTTACTTGCTCGTTATTGACACACACGTGCACACATTTACAGGGCACACGTGGTGTCCCGATGCCTGCACACGACGCGTAACGACGAAGTCAGGGCTATGACACCATCCACTCAAACACTGACCGTTTCTTCACACTCAGGTTTTCTCGTCTGGCTATTTTGAAGCATACACGGGAAGCTGGTTCCCGGACCCCGCAAACACCAAAATCTGTGCGTAGGCAAGTC